ATAGCAATGTTATTGGCAAAGTAACAGTAAGAGCAACAGTACGTAATAGTATCAGCAAAAAGAAACAGTAACAGTAATAGTAATAGAAACTAGCCTAGTACAGCATCGTCTCGTATCAAGCTTGGGTGGTGGTTGACAGCTCAGCGACTAGCGCCGATGTTTGTGTCCTTGGAGGCCCACGTATCCTTATGTCGGGAGGGCTGCTGTACCCCTAAACCCTAAGCTAGGTTTAGGGTTCAGGGCTTCGGGAACCCTAAGCCCCAAACTCTCTCTCTCTCTCTCTATATATATACATATGCATGTGTATATATATATATATATATACACACATATATTTGGGTAACCGAACTTCCAGCTTCCATTGCGATGAGGCTTCGCCAGCTGGGGATGTTGGGAATCGACACTGCCCACCCGAAACCTTAACCCCGGATACTTAACCCTTAGCCTCCAAACTATAAGCCTCAAACCCCGAACCTAGACCCAAACCCCTAAAGCCCGTTCGAATCCCTCGACCGATTTCTGCCGAGGACATGGCGGCCTGCAAATACGAGGGCGCCGATGGTGAAGCCGTGTTAAAAGAGGAGCGCATAGCCGCTTTAGGGCTTAGGGGTTAGGGTTTAAGGTGCTTAGGATTGGGGACCCCTAAACTCCTAAGCTCGGCTTGGGTGAAGAATGAACATCCAGGATCGTTGACCGTGGAGGTTCTAGGCTCTACGTGTGTGTTGAGGGCTTTGGGTAGAATCAGCTTTGGCTTGAAGATGAAGCCAACTAGCAGAAGCCCTACGATCAGGGGTGAGTCAGGGTCTGGGGTTTGGGGCGGTTGAGGTTTGGGGTTGCCTATAGTCTCCATTGTAGTTCGGCTTGTTTTGGTTCAACCACTGTTATGTTTGGGGTCCTATAAGGCAACCAAAAAAGGAACAAGAAGGAAGGAACCCAAAGGGTCTAAGTACCAATATAGTAGGCTCTTAGTAGCCATTTGGGCATTTGGGCCCCCAAAGTATTTACTATACAACCCTAAACCATAAACCACTAAACCGCTAAACCTTAAACCCTAAAGTATACTGCTACTTGGACCCTTTGGGGAAGACTAGAAGTAGGCCTCGCAACATGGTCTTCGCTTCCTCGCAGGACTTAGATTCGTTGGCCTCGAGGTCGGCGCGCGGCTGCGCGTTCTGGCTTTTAGGGGGGTTCAGATGATCCCCAAAGTGTCCAAGAGCCTACTATATTGGTACTTGGACCCTTTGGGATCGTTCTTTTAGGATGATCCTGGTAGTAGAGTATTTAACCTTTAACTTTTTTGGGGTAGTATAGTCCCTATAGAATCCCTATATACCCTAAAAGGTTAACCTTTTGTTACCCATGATAGCCGACAAGTAGATTGTTCTACGTGACAAGGGTTTAGGGTTTATTAGCTCCCGCAGAGCTTATGATGATCGAGGTGATGATGAGCGGTGTGTACGACGGCTTTGGTCATCTGGGTTTTGCTTAAAAGGATCATGGGACTTAGTAAGTAGGGTTATAAGTAGGTTATAATTAGGATAACCCCACTTAGGTGACTTATAAGCCCAGTCATAACCTACTTACTAAGTCCCATGATCCTGTAAGTGAGGGTCTCCCAATGGGTTGTTGGATTGATGCTGTCTGCGCGGCTTTTGAAGCATTCAGAGCTTTCAGACCTTCGAGCCCAAAACCCTTAAATTCCTAAAACCCCCAAAACCCAAAGCAGTGATTGCAGAGAAGCAGAATTTAGGATTCTTGCTCACAAACTCTGCGACGAAGACATGGGACTTTCTGAATATTATGGGGTACCTTATTTTGGGGTCCTTATAATCAGGATCCTACTATTTAGGGTACTATATTAGGGTCCCCTTTTGTCTGAAACTCCCACAATCTTTTTCATCTTAAGGCGCCTGGTGCTCGAATTTCCAAGCCCCAAAATCTCACGACATCGCGTCTTCAGCCCAAAGAGCATTATATAGCGGTCGGAATATTTACCACTTCTACAGTACTAGCAACTTTTTTTCCTAGGGCAGCTCTATTCAAACTACTGAGGCCCCACAGAAGACATAATTAGTAGGTTTCGCTCGAAGTCCACGTCAAACTTTACATTCCCATCCCTTGCTGCAATGCGGAGTCCGAAACCCTATGAGCCTGGCACCCCAGACCCTGAGCCGGCAAAATGCGGAACCTGCTTGCATGACCCCAGCCGCGAGTTTTCGAAAACTTAAACCAGCAAGCTGAAACCTTTAATCCCGAAAGGTTCCGTTATTCATACTCAGACCCCCCTTCCCCTCAAACAAGAAAACCTTCCCTAAATTTTATACCCCAAACCCCCTAAACCCTGACCACAAGCCCCAATACCCCCTAAACCCTACCTGTAGTCTCCATTGTCTTTCCCTTTTGGGGTTACCTTTTAGGATCCTTAATATATACTTGGTTAAACCAACAAAAGGAACTACAATGGAGACCATAGGTAAACCACCTCAGCCCCGAAGAACCTACATTTTTAAGGACATATATGCAGAAATCCTAGAAAGAAGCCCTACAAGGTAGGCTATTCAGGGCTAAACCCTGCACCCTAAACCCCAATTACCCCCTAAACCCTGAACCTTGAATCTTTGACAGGCTGCGCCCGGTACGCTTGGAAGCGACGTCCGACTCACTCGGTGCGAGTGGCAACCTGGCGGCATTTTTTGAGGCTACAGGTATCTATAGTAGAAGCCAGAAAGTTGGAACATGGATTTAGGAGGATTAGTGCTAGGATCCCCTATACGTTATCTTAAGGGCATGGGGAAGATGATGTTCCAACTTTCTGGCTTCTACTGTAATACACCTTAGTACAGCAGAATAGCAGAGAATCACTAAGTAGCTGAGTGGGTACACTTTACACTTTTTGGGATGATCTTACCCACTATAAAACTGAAAGTGTACACTTTGGGGGGCTTGTGAACTCAACAACTAAGATAAGATGCTATGATGACTGTAGTCTCCTTTGGAATTATTTTGTATGAATATGAAACCCAAGAGAATATTAAAGATCTGATTTTTATGCTGGTTACAAGGGGGGTATAGATGACAACAGTGGGGGGGGTTGGGGCGTTTCGGGGTTGAGGGGCCCTGGCTGGAGGTCGCAGTGTCAAGAAGCTACATGATGGTTAAGAGCATGGGGCTGGAGGGTTTTGGGGTGTGAGGGGGCAGGGTTTTAGGATTTGGGTTCATGGGCGGTGTATTGTGGGCTCTGGGTTCCTAGACTTCAGAGTTTCTGGGTTTCGGTGGTTCTGAGGGGCCTGTGCGCTCTGCAGGAAGAGGTCCAGGTCACATAGATCTTTGGCCGATTATTGACTTAGTAGCTGAGTGGGATAATTATTACCCACTATAAAACTGAAAGTGTACACTTTTGGGGGGCTTACGAATTCAGCAACAAAGTTTAGGAAGCTGAGGTTTCCTGTGGGTTTGTGAAGTTTCCCATGCCCCGAATACTGCTCCAATCGAGACTCTGAAGCCTTCCCCCGCCCCCTGAAAATCCGAAAGCAAAAGATGGTACCGGACACATTCTGCATTCCCATCCGGTATGCCCAGTTTCTTTTCCGAACCCTGACCCATGGACCCTGCGGCCCATAGAACCTAACACATCTCGTAATCGCATTCCCAAAAAGGGCCGACAGAACCCCACACACCCTCAACCTAAACCCCTGAAGCCCTAGCTTTGTCGTCCAGTTGTTTTGGAAGGTGCGAAGGCCCTCTTGGGCATGGGATTTGCTGAGGGTGGGCTGTAGCACGAGATTCGCGAAAGCCGAGGATATTTAGAATCATACATACACACAACCCAAGCCAATCATACTGAAGTTCCTGTGTTTGTATCTGCAGTAAGTATCGTGTCCTGTGAACCCTTAGGGGAAGCGGTTGAACGCTGGACTTCGAAATTGCAACTGGAACTACCGTCGTCCAGGCAGAAGCAGGAGCACCTGATAAAACGTCGTGTAAGCCCTTCAATCATCCAAGAAAGCATGGTGCGCAACTCCGAACCCTATTAAACCCACAACTAGAAGCTGGAATTGGTCACTGTAGCAAAACTGTGAGCCCAGGCTTTAGGAAGCACATGGCATCCGTCGCACACCAGTGCAAGAAGGGACTGCTCCGCTGAAGCGAAAAGACTGGTGGAAGCCGTGGTTGAGGTTTTGACTGACCCAAAGGGTCCAAAGTACCGATATAGTAGATTGTAGGGTTTCTATATTAGGAATTACTATTATGATTTGGGGAAGTATTCCCCATAACAGTACATCGGACCCTTTGACTGATTGCTTTGGGTGCAAGGGGTTGTATTTCGGTTCAGGTTAGCAGGGTTGAGGGTTTAAGGGTTTAATTAGTACTTATAACCCCAATTCGGGTACCTATAACCCTACTTACTAAGTAAGGGTTTGGGGTTTCAGGGTTTCGGGTTCAGGTTGAGAGTTAGGGTCTAGGGCTTTGGGTTTTGTCGGGCTCGCACTCACTTTGGAGCATGCCCTCAACTACCCATATCACCTGATCGAAAAGCATACTCTTTCCTTCGATCATGCTATGTTGAAATATGATTAAGGCACTGCTTGTACATGTCCTTGTATTCCAGCATGTAAACCCGAAACTTTTTTGTTAATGCAAGATGTCCACACAGTCCCCAACGTTAACCTGTAGATCGACTGTTGAAACTTGACAGGTAGGAGTATATGTTGCGAAGACCCTGAAGGTTTACACCTTAAAGGAACTCTGCATAAAAAAAAGTAACAAAAACCCTTCAAGAAGCACGCAAAGAAACTCTTGTAGGAACCTCCTATATAAATCCAAACCCTCAACTCCTGAACCGCTACTCTCCTTAAGGGAAGCTTACTGGAGCCCTTGAAGAGACCCTTGAAGTAATGCTAAACCCCTTAAATAATCATCTATACTCTTTTTGGGTGTTTCTAATATATGAGAATTATGGTAAATATCAAGGCCCCTTTATTACCTAAGCAGACCTCGAGGCTGGCTCAGTGCGGCATTCCCTTCCCCGATGCCTCGTCAGAACTCCTCGCCGGGGATCCGAAACAGGCGCAGCAGAAGCTCTTTTGGAGTTTCGGGTAATGGTTTAGAGTGTAGGTCGCTTGAGAAGGGCTTCTAGGGCTCCGTGCGCTTTTGGGTTTTGTGGCTATGCGGTTTGGAGGTTCAGGGCTCTTTGTTTTTGTTGCGGGTTTCTGGGTTTGGGCTTTGGGGCTTTCGGGTTCCTTCTGAGTTTACTGAGCTTTGGGACTTCAGGACCTGAGGGTTTACATTGTAGATAGCAAGGACTTTGTGATTCAGGGCTTGATGGTTTTTGTTTGGGTTACAGGCCGAAGTCTACCCAGAGAGCCCAATACCCCTTCATCAGGGAATATACTTTAAATCATAACATTAAGGCCCTTATAATTTAAGGTATATTCCTTAACTAAGGAGTACTGAGCTTTCTGGGTACAATCTTGTCAGGGCCAGGTTTGCATGCTTCGAACTGGACTGCAGAGGGCCATCTTCGAGTAGTGTTTCACATACATGGATGCATGCATACACTCATAAGTACGTGCATACACAGATGTACATTAACATAAACGCATAGTAGATGGGTGTTGCTTTGTCTCGCTCTCTCTCTCTCTCTCTCTCGCTCTCTCTCTCTCTCTCTCTCTCTCTCTCTCTCTCTCTCTCTCTCCCCCTCTCCCCCTCTCTCATTCATATACATGTGTATGTAATGAGCACATATACATATACGTAATGAGCATATCTACTTATACGTACATGTTGGTGTATATTTATGTTCAAAAGGGGCAAGTACATAAACAAAGAGATCTGTAGGTACATCATATGCACCGTACGTAGACCTCCAGACTCTCCTGCATGGCCTGTCACGCGCTGTCCGAGCAGGCGCTGATGTTACCTCAGATCGCGGAGGTGCTGAAGGAGCACCGCGGAAAGCTCAAGTCGAGCCGCCACGATTGTACCGTAGAAGCCCAGCTCGAGTTCAGGCTTGACTGCCCGAAGGGCGTAATGGAGGAGCCTGATTAAGAAACCCTGGGCCTGTAACCCCAAAATAGTAGGATTCACATAAGGAACCCTAATAAGGACCCAAGGTTTCTGAATCAGGTTCTTACATTATACTTATACCTTATCTATAGGTATCCAGTGTTCAGATAGAGATTCAGAGCTTGGTGGCGACACGAGACCTAGCAAGGAGGATTCCGGACTGCGAAGTGTCTGGACTCACTTCGGAGGTTTGCGATATGATGTTTTTTTTTTGTTGTTGTACTGTCCGTCTCCCAGCATTGATTCTATCCTAGATAGCCACCATCAGCATGCTGATCATTCCATTTGTAAGGGGCGGGATTTAGAGCAAGGTAGCATCGATGATGCGCGGAAGTATTAAGTGGGACTAAGCCGTAAATGTGAAAGCATTTGCATCATGTCGGTTTGCATTTTGCTTATTCATTGTTCTGTAATCATATTTGTGCAGGTGCTAATGCGGCAAATCTGTCTCAACCTTGCAGAGTACATGAAATCCGTACACTCCTACCCCCTTCGCCCCTCAACCCGAAACCTTAAACCCTAAATAAACCGTAAACTCCTCGGGTCAACAGCACACAAAAAGGGGTTCAAACGAAAAGCAAGAGCTGCTTTTTTCCCAGAGCAGGCTCCTCCTGGAGGGCCATCAGACGAGCGGGGAAGAGACTGGCTCGATTCCCAACATCCTGCCCAGGGTTTAGGGCTTTTTGTGGCCTGTTTAATTTCAGGGCTTCGGGTTAAGGGCTTAGACAGGGATCAATGAGGACTGTTCAAGCAGGGTTTAGTGTGTAAGCGTAAGGGTTTTTAAAGGATTGAGTTAAGGCCTGAGAGAGATTACATAGCTTCCTAGCGCTACAGGATTTATGCGTTTTCTTTACATAAAGTTTAAGGGTTCATTTGTATGGTGGTGGAGATAGAGTGCCTCTAGGGGCTCTTGTAAGTTTCGATAGATAAGAGAAGGTTCAGCGTTATGCGTTGGGCCGGTTTGGGGTGTTCAGGGTTACCCCTCAACCCTAAACCGTAGGGTTCAGGCCCGTTAGGAGTTTCCGGCTTTCTGGGTTCGAAGCTTGAGAGGCCGGAGGCTTTGGGGTTCCTGAAGACGAGGACCGGGGAGTTGGTATACTAGTGCTTCTTATGATTATGGTTATTCTGTATGGTTAGGATAACCTACATTTTCAATACGTATGGCGTTCAGTTTTGTTACTAGTCTTAGTATGCCTTCTTTACTTTTTACTATTGATACTATTGGTTAATATTGTTTTTCTTTCCCATGATTACAATCATTGCTATCTATGAGTACTATTGTTACTACTGTCATGATTAGTATTACGATTTTTATTGTTATTGATACTGTTGTTGTTATCGCTGTTGCTAATATTAGCATTATTAGCATTATTAGCATTATGCACTTTGGTATGAGTGTCGTTGTCATTACTGTGGTTTAGTGTTGCTACTATGAGTATGACTGTTTTAGTATAGTAGATGTAGGTATACAGAGACGACAAGGGCTCTTGCTTGCTATTCGGAGAGACCAATCCTGCACTGTTCTCAATCAAAAAAACGGGAATATGGCTGAAGCTCAAAGCCCTTATCTTTAAAGGACCCTAAGGGAACCCCCAAAACCGTGTTCGAATTATTAAGGCCCCTTATTAGGTCTTGACCTGGATCGGAGCCTGGCGGTCTACCAGTGGCTCGTGGAGGCGGGGATATTGCAGGGCATAAGTCGACGAGATCTGGTGACCTCAGTGTTCAAGGGCAGATGTCAGCCACAGACGCCTCTATATTCCAATCAGGATCTGCTTCAGTAGCTCGTTCCCATCCCAGAACAAGCCTGGACCCTGAACCGCTCCAAAAATGGTGTCGGCATCACCAAAAGAAAGCTTTTACCCTTCGTCGCAACGGAAGCACCTACGAACTGATTTCGACATCCCAACTCGTCCTGCAAACAGGTGGCCGGAAGCGCACCAGGCCTACTGCGGCTGAAAGGCCTTCCAGCGGTACGAAGCCAACAGTTGTGGTAACAAGGGTCTAAACTGTAAAACCCTCCACCTCACCTATGCCTAAAATCCCAGTTCCCAACACATGTATGCCCATGCTGTTGTTTTCAGAATTCCTGAATTTCGGAGTTCTTGCTTTCGGTTAAACCATAAGTTTTTGAGCCGTATGTAAGCCATTCGCGGTGAACCTGTGCACAAGTAGCTAGTCAAGTGCGCGAAGAGGTGAATTCATCCAGTCACCAAGCTGTCGTCAGATTCCATACAACCTTGCGTGGGAATAGACTAAAGTTACCTCCAGCTTTCAAAGGTTTGTCCAGATGAAATGTTTAGTGGTTTGCAAAAGTAGTGATTACATATAGTAGTCCAGGACAATGCATCACCGTTGCTAGTGATTAAGGTCCCTACACCACCGGGCCGAAAGTTTCGACATGCAGCTTATAACATAGATGTATGCCGCGGAGAGGCGGAGAGCCCCAAGACCCATTTTACGTGGCCAACGTGGCGGAGTAATTACTTTCCGGGAATAAATTTATACTATTATATAGTTTCCGGCGGAGAGCTTTGCGGGGTTGTGCTAGGATTCTACGGGGGAAAAGGGGTGAACATGTGGTGATCTCTCAACTTCATGTTGTATGGCGAACTTTCGTCCTGCGGTAGCGGGCATTCCGGGTGTTGCAGTCCTGGTCTGCACGAGAAAAAGAGGAGCCAGGATGGACTAAGTAGGCTTTAGCCATGCCGCATCGGGGATGTGTTTCGGAAATCCGCGGGCATTCCGGGTGTTGCAGTCCTGGTCTGCACGAGAAAAAGAGGAGCCAGGATGGACTAAGTAGGCTTTAGCCATGCCGCATCGGGGATGTGTTTCGGAAATCCGCGGGCATTCCGGGTGTTGCAGTCCTGTGGTCTGCACGAGAAAAAGAGGAGCCAGGATGGACTAATGAGGCTTTAGCGGAAATCACCACCGGGCCGAAAGTTTCGACATGCAGCTTATAACATAGATGTATGCCGCGGAGAGGCGGAGAGCCCCAAGACCCATTTTACGTGGCCAGCGTGGCGGAGTAATTACTTTCCGGGAATAAATTTATACTATTATATAGTTTCCGGCGGAGAGCTTTGCGGGGTTGTGCTAGGATTCTACGGGGGAAAAGGGGTGAACATGTGGTGATCTCTCAACTTCATGTTGTATGGCGAACTTTCGTCCTGCGGTAGCGGGCATTCCGGGTGTTGCAGTCCTGGTCTGCACGAGAAAAAGAGGAGCCAGGATGGACTAAGTAGGCTTTAGCCATGCCGCATCGGGGATGTGTTTCGGAAATCCGCGGGCATTCCGGGTGTTGCAGTCCTGGTCTGCACGAGAAAAAGAGGAGCCAGGATGGACTAAGTAGGCTTTAGCCATGCCGCATCGGGGATGTGTTTCGGAAATCCGCGGGCATTCCGGGTGTTGCAGTCCTGTGGTCTGCACGAGAAAAAGAGGAGCCAGGATGGACTAATGAGGCTTTAGCGGAAATCACCACCGGGCCGAAAGTTTCGACATGCAGCTTATAACATAGATGTATGCCGCGGAGAGGCGGAGAGCCCCAAGACCCATTTTACGTGGCCAGCGTGGCGGAGTAATTACTTTCCGGGAATAAATTTATACTATTATATAGTTTCCGGCGGAGAGCTTTGCGGGGTTGTGCTAGGATTCTACGGGGGAAAAGGGGGAACATGTGGTGATCTCTCAACTTCATGTTGTATGGCGAACTTTCGTCCTGCGGTAGCGGGCATTCCGGGTGTTGCAGTCCTGGTCTGCACGAGAAAAAGAGGAGCCAGGATGGACTAAGTAGGCTTTAGCCATGCCGCATCGGGGATGTGTTTCGGAAATCCGCGGGCATTCCGGGTGTTGCAGTCCTGGTCTGCACGAGAAAAAGAGGAGCCAGGATGGACTAAGTAGGCTTTAGCCATGCCGCATCGGGGATGTGTTTCGGAAATCCGCGGGCATTCCGGGTGTTGCAGTCCTGTGGTCTGCACGAGAAAAAGAGGAGCCAGGATGGACTAATGAGGCTTTAGCGGAAATCACCACCGGGCCGAAAGTTTCGACATGCAGCTTATAACATAGATGTATGCCGCGGAGAGGCGGAGAGCCCCAAGACCCATTTTACGTGGCCAGCGTGGCGGAGTAATTACTTTCCGGGAATAAATTTATACTATTATATAGTTTCCGGCGGAGAGCTTTGCGGGGTTGTGCTAGGATTCTACAGGGGAAAAGGGGTGAACATGTGGTGATCTCTCAACTTCATGTTGTATGGCGAACTTTCGTCCTGCGGTAGCGGGCATTCCGGGTGTTGCAGTCCTGGTCTGCACGAGAAAAAGAGGAGCCAGGATGGACTAAGTAGGCTTTAGCCATGCCGCATCGGGGATGTGTTTCGGAAATCCGCGGGCATTCCGGGTGTTGCAGTCCTGGTCTGCACGAGAAAAAGAGGAGCCAGGATGGACTAAGTAGGCTTTAGCCATGCCGCATCGGGGATGTGTTTCGGAAATCCGCGGGCATTCCGGGTGTTGCAGTCCTGTGGTCTGCACGAGAAAAAGAGGAGCCAGGATGGACTAATGAGGCTTTAGCGGAAATCACCACCGGGCCGAAAGTTTCGACATGCAGCTTATAACATAGATGTATGCCGCGGAGAGGCGGAGAGCCCCAAGACCCATTTTACGTGGCCAACGTGGCGGAGTAATTACTTTCCGGGAATAAATTTATACTATTATATAGTTTCCGGCGGAGAGCTTTGCGGGGTTGTGCTAGGATTCTACGGGGGAAAAGGGGTGAACATGTGGTGATCTCTCAACTTCATGTTGTATGGCGAACTTTCGTCCTGCGGTAGTATGTCGTACCATTTTTATGCGGTAACGCTCTAGACCTAAAGAGAGCCTAATTCTTATTATCAAGGCCTCCTAAGTCGCCTTGCAAACCACAACTAAACCCCTAAACCCAAAACCCTAAATCCCTCAACCTTTAAGCCCCTAAACCCTAAACCCAAAGGCTCTAAACCCTAAACCCCTAAACCCCTAAACCCTAAATCGCCCTAGCTATTACAATGTCCTTATGGGAGGGGGCTCCCATGGGGGGTAGATCAGCTAGTAATCCCTAGTTCCCTCTAGTGCTCCCTAAGGTTCCCTTAAGGTTCCCTAAGGATCCTTTCTACCCTCCCCCCTTGAACCACCCTCCCTTAAGGACCCCATAAACAAAAGCTCGACTTGTCTGGGAGGTTGTGGCACCTCAGCCGGCTTGGGCCCTGTGGTGGTTCCGCTACCCATCCGGGCCACTGGGATTCCTTTAAAGGGTCCTATAAGGGTTCTATAAGGGGTCTTAGGGTATCTATAGTCTCTGTCTGGTTCTCAGCAGGGAGTGGGGGAATGGGTTATTGGGACCACTATAGGGGATTATATAGGTACTATAGGGATCCTTCCCCCCCATTCCCTGCTAAGCTTGAGGTCGAAGGGTTTAGGGGCGTTATGGTTTGGGGTTTAGGACCTTAGGGCTTTGGGTTTTAGGGCTTAGGGGTTTAGAGTTTTAGGGTTTATGGTTTTAGGGTTCAGGGTTTTAGGGTTTAGGGTCGAGGGGTTCAGGGTTTAGGTCCTACACCCTAAGCCCCTAAACCCTTAAACCCTAAAACCCTAAACTGTAGGACCTTAGGGCTTTGGGTTTTAGGATTTAGGGGTTTAGGGTTTAGGCGTTGTGGCTCGAGCACAGCTTTGGGCGGACGTCACCAACCTGGTGTGTCCTGCCTGACTGCGTATACCCAACCCCAGCGCTGCCATAGGCGGCGCGACATCCGTCGGCCCTGCGGCTGCGGATCTGGAGCTGGAGGCTCCACATACCACGGGCACGCTGCTATTGACTTAGCCGTTGTCCCGTGAGTATTTTCTCGGTGGGCTTGCCATTCGCTGCTTCGGCCGACTGGCTCCCTACCGCTCTACACGCCCTTTTATGGGCGCTCTCAAAGCATATCTTGCCATCCTCCCGCTCGTGATCTTCGGGCTTTTTCTACTTTGGATTGGCCACGGCGGCCTTGAAAAGGAGGGCGAGCCCTCCGTGGCACCGCAGACAGCGGCGTGCCCGACACAAAGCACGCCGGGCCTTGAGGCGTGGCGTGATCTCTGCCGAAGCGCTGCGGATCATTGCTACGCACCACGGCAGCATGGCCCCGAAGGCTTCTTCAGGTGGAGGCGCCAACAAGTCGGGGAAACAAGGTGGTGGCAAAGGAGAGCCTCCACAGCAGGTGTCCAGGGTGGAATTCGGACTTCCCCAAGGTGTTGTCTCGGCTCTGCAATCTATTCAGAACAGGTCAACGCAGGACCTGTGGGGTCCTGCAGCAGTGCTGGAGTCGCAAGCCACAGCGGAACAGCGATTCCAGCGCCGTTCCAACGCTGCCAATCGTCTCTCCAAGCGCCTGTCCGGCAACATGCGTGCGAAAGAGGAGCTGGCGACAGCGCTGCAGCAGTGGTTTATGCTTGTGAGCCAACGCCTGGTCGGGCTTATTACCCAAGTCAGGGCGTTGGGCAACAAGTTGGACGAGGACACCACTGTGGCGGCCGCCGAGATGAGGGATATTTTGGCAGCACAGCCCTCGGAGCTCACTACGGCTCAGGTTGTCAAGGCGGAGGAGACCATGGGCCCTATTTGGTCCCCTTCGCAAGAACACGTGGTGATGCAGTTGGCTGCAGGCCTCAAGGCTTTTGGAACAGTGCTGCCTGCACCCCTGCCTACAGAGCCTGGACCGCACGCCCTTTTCGCCATGGAGCCTCCGCAGCTACCCTCCGGCCCTGTCCTGGCACAGGACGGCGCTTCCGATGTCAGTTTTGGTCAAACTGGACTTCACGAACTGCCTGGGATGACCCCGACCTCCACTCCTCTTGCAAACAGAGGTGCAGTGGTGGATGTCGAGTTACCCCGGGCAGCCCCAGTCCTTGGGCAGCTCGACTCCTTGAGCTTCGGGTCTATCGCTCCGACCGTGGTCTCTGGGCGATGGCGGAAGCGCAGTGCAGGCCATTCCGACCGGCCCTCGAAGAGCCCCAGGCGAGATCATGTGGAACCACCTTGGACAAGAGAAGCGACGGGCCGTACGCCCGACTCTGTGCAACGTGCTCCGCAAGTGGCTGTGGTCGACGACGGCCCCGAGCTCATCCCGGACCCTACGTCCAACAGTACGAGTCCTTGGACGGTGGCGTGGCTTGCTATGCTCCACTTCTGCACCGAGAACGGAGCGGACCTGATCGGCGAACTGAGGCAATGCTCACGTCAAGATGCAGCCCTGCCACTCACTGTGGATGCACAGGCCCAGGAGGTTGTGGCGCTTGCTGCCGAAGCTGTCTGGGAAGGCATGTTGCGTGCGGTGGCCAAACCGGAGCTGGCCCATCTCCAGTCCCTTCATCGAGATCTGCGAGAGGTCATGCAGCAGCTTTGGTTGTGTTCCAATGCCCTTCCGTCTGCCAGGCAGGGACTTCTTGTGGCTGCTCATTTGACTGCGGGAAGGATTGTGGACCCGTTCTCGTATGCGCCCTCAACAGCACAGGAGTGGCTCTTCCCGGACCTACTTCTCGAGGCCGACGCCCCGATCCGTGGCTTTATTGCAAAAGATGCGTCACAGGACACAAGAGTGCAAGTGCTGCTCCGGATGCCATCACCCTTCCTCCGAGTGACCGACTCTGCGGACCCCACGGAGCTAGAGTGAATCGGCGAGAACACCAGCCGCTCTGCAACGGCCCCGACCTTGTAGCAGTTTGCCCTGCTGATCGTGCTCAAATAGGGTGTGTTTGTTCACACCTTATTTTGATCACGGTCAGCCTTTTCCTCGGGCGCTGCATCATAGTGTGTATAGCCATACGTAGAGTCTCGGCTGTCACTGAGAGGTTCTTTTCGGCCTACGGTCCCAGATTGTCCTGGCAACGCTCTTGGCAGCTTGGTTGCACCCTTTCTGCCTCCGCGTGGTGGGCTGCGGCAACTGTGTGCCCGCCCTTTGCCATGATGATGTGTGCAGGCATCAGTGAGCTTCTTGCCTTCCTCCCAGGTTGGGGTATGGACTTTTACCCCCATGCCCTCCTTGCCCTGTCTTGGACTTCGCATCACTGGCGCTGTGCTTGCGGGCTCGTCCTGCCTTTGGCATGGGTCACTCGCCTCAGGGCTGCTATGTTTGGAGAACCTGGCGTGGCGTGCGGTGCTGGGGTCCTTTCTGCGGGTCTTAAGGTTCGGGGAGCTAGGCACCGTACTCCAGTGCGTCCGTGCCGGAACAGTGGGCCCTGCCTGAGGATGACGCTTCTGCTGCTCTACCTTTCAGTTGCCGATGGCGTCACTCTCCACCTCGGCGCGGCGGTTGTCTCCTCCTGGGGGCTGAGATCCTCCACTGCTGTGCAATTACATGCCCACGGCTTTCATGAGGGCCTCCCTGTCCTCAGTACGGGGCCGGTTCTGCCCACTCCTACTGCTGAGGAAATGTGTGAGGTTTACCCTGTCGGCCGTACGGGTAACTTGCTTCTCCCACGCACCGACCGCAGTCGTCGGCACCTTGCTGTCTTTGTGGGTACACCGCCTGGAGCTCCCATTCTCGAACCTTGCCCTGTCCCTTTCCTGGTTGACGAATGGTTGCATGGGCCGCTCTTGCATGCCCGGCTTGCTGCCACCTTGGGATTCCCTGTTGGTGTCTTCTCTATCTCAGCCATCCGCGGGGTCCTTCCCGGCCTGCCAAGTGAGCAGCTTCTTCTCACTCCGGCTGCCTGTTCATGGCGTCAAGTCTGGCTGCCCGTTGACCTCCGCCCGCTGGGAGGCCGCATATGCATGCTTATGTGCCCCCGTGACTCTACTTGCAGAGCCATTGCGGTCCTTGCTCTCGCGGCTCAGACGATGCAGACTGAAGTTGACCTTCTGCTTGCTAAGTGCCCCTGGGGATGGTTGACGCTGATGTCCCAACCCCTCCTTCTGCAGGACGTCGACACTCTGCAATTTCATATTGGCCCAGCTGCTGATGCGCTGCAAGGACCTGTCGGTGCTTCTTTGGATCCCCCCCTTTCGTTGTTCTCGTCCATGCAGGTGAGCCTCCCGACGGCACCCTCAGCCCACGAAGCTTTCCCGGGCCACTCGCATAACCAAGCTGTCCTTATCACCCCTAATGGACTGGTGTATGTCGAAGCCCCGGTATTTGCTGACGCCGCTACGTTTCGACGTATTGTGTCTACTAGGGCATCTCCCAGTGCTTGTGGGGGGGTCCTCCGCATCTGGCATCCGCTTCCTTCCCTTCCCCTTGTGCAGTTCATGGAGGTACACTGTACTAGGGATGAGGTACCTTGCATTCTCGATTTCCGTCCAGTTGGCTGGAGGCTGACTACTGTTTGCGTTCCTCCTCCTGTTACTGCTCTTGCGGCGGTTACGGTTGCTTCTCGACGGGACCGCAGCAGCCTCCCCCACGAGTGGGTCGAACAGTGCGCCCGTGGCGGGTTCGGCCTCCTCCATCGAGAGCTTGCGGTATTACCAGATCAGGTCCTCACCAGCAGTGTCCCGATTGTTGTCATGTTCTTCCCGCATGTCTTTCGTCAAGACTCTTCCTCCTCCTCGGAGGACCAGGTAGGCGGCTGGGACACCCCGGGCACCTCTGACACCATTTCTGCGCTGCAGCACACCCTGTTGCCCTCCCCTGCTAGGGCTTCCTCGTCTACTGCCATGCCCGCTTGCACTGGAGTCACTCCGTCTGAGTTTCTCAGCACCACTTCCCCCAGTGCCTTGGTGTCGGCCGCCGAGCCTGGCTCGGCTTCTTCATCGGTCGTTAGCCAATACAGCGGCACTCGGGGTATTCTTTTGGCTGCTTGTGTGTTGCGCGGGCCACACCATGGCGTCGGGAGCCTCCTTGTTTGGGGTGCGTGCCTCGTCATCTCCTGTGGGATGCCTGGTAATGCCGTTCAGATGCACAGTGCGCCAGCCACTCCTAGGGATGTTGTGGTTTCAGCTAATAGGGCTCCTGACCGTCAGGTTGCGGCACCAGCAGGTGCCCACACGCATTTACAGGCCAGGTGGCTTCAGGTTGGCGACTTTGGTGACGGACCGCTTTGGTCAGTTTTTCCCTCCGCCAGTGAGGTGTTTCTCATTACTTGCCGCCTTTGGTGGCCCGGATCTTCGGTCCGCCTTGAGTTTGCCAACACTGAGAGTGCTCGCGATGCGGCCGCCGAGCTTTACCGTCAGGCCATCCGAATAGGTCGCCCTCAGATTGTTGCTGCCTCTGCAGGCCCTACTCTTGAGGCGGTTAATCTTGTGGCTCTCCCGTCCCGCCCTGAGACCCTAACTGTTCTTCTGGACCTAGGTAGAGAGGTTGTCTGTGTTGAGCTACCCAAGGAATACAGTGCTGATCATGTTCTTGAGGCTGCGCAGCTAGCGGCTGCTTCGGCTGACGTCCAGATCCTTCGGGGCACGGCACATCGGCTTCGCCAAGGCGACGTGGTACGAGTGCGTGTCAACACTGAGGCGCGCACCCTCGATGTCTCAGCTTTTGTTATTCCACACAATGTTGGCACTGCATCGCGCTGGCTTCAGGAAGGCCGAATCGTGTCGCTGCTTCATCCTGTGGCTGGCGTGTTATCTTTCGAGGTCCCGCGTGCTTGTGACCTTGATACTTCTGTGCTGGGTGCGTTGTTGCGCAGCGTTACCCCAGGCCAGCATGTCTTCGTCGCGCTACCCGGAGCTGACCTTCTCCCTCATGCCGCCTTCGTCGCCGCCTTCCCTGGCCAGGACTGTGTCACATATCGGGTGACTGATGCGTCTGACCCCTCTGCTGTGGGTCTGCACTTGGCCTTTTCCGGCGTCTTTGAATCTTTCCCGGCCTTTTTGGAAAGTCTTCTTCGCAGCAACCGCCCCGCCGCTGCTCTGCTTCGAAGGTTGCAGCCCTTCGGCCTCTCTGTTCTAACCTGGGAATGCACCTCCTTTCCTGGTCGAGCTGACTGTCGCTACTGGCATGTCCATGTGCAGGCTGACTTTGCACGGGCCCGGGAGCACCTTTTGAGCCTCAGCTGGGAGCCGAGACTTGTTCGCACGCCTCCGCCCCTCCCTCCCCCTAGGGCTCGGGTTTTCCATAGTATAGGTTCCCAAACTAACGCCCCCTTCATTTCTGCCAGCACGCCGGCTGCTGTACTCCAGGCACCCCCGTCTGTTTGCGGTGCCGGTGTCACACCTGACTCTGCGTCCGAACTCGTTGACCTCTGGTGCGATGCATGGCACGTCAAGTGCCTGGTTGCATGTCTGCCCGGATTCACCGTGTGGGCCCTCCGAGAGGGGAGCCGACTCTACGGTATGTGCACCCCTGTCCCCTCCTGGGAAGCAGTTGCACAGGCTCTTTCCCTGTCTCTCTGGGAGCTACCACAAACGTTTCTGTCCAGCGACAGCCGTGTCTGGCCATTTCCCCGTGACATCACAGGTGTTGCGATGCAGTGTGTCAGTGTTGGGTACGACTCTCCTGAAGGAGTCTCCCAACTGGTGCGTAATTGCGAGGCCGAGACGCCTAGCCCGCCACCGCCCCCGGGCCCTTTGGCCTCCGCTGCTCTTGGCTTGCCCTGCTTGCGGCGGTACTCGCTTTTGTGTGCTCTCAGCCTCCTTCTCCCTGTGGTGTCAGTCCGCGTGATGGTTGAGCCTGCTCCCTTGTTCTCTCGTCTCGCGGAATCCGAGACACTGCAAACTTGTCGCGACTTTTCACGGCCCTGCACCATGTCTTGGACTCACGAGCTTGCCCGGCAGACGCACGGGTTCGCCCTTTCAGCACCTCAACTTGGTGCGTATGTTACTGGCGCCTCACCTCACCCAGAAGTGCAGATGCACCTTTGGCTTCCCGGGCAAGGCCCCGTCCACTTGAGGGTTGGTGCACGCCACCTTGATCAGCATCTTAGTGCTTACCTTGGCGCCTTCTTGCCGGACTGCGAGTACGGACTGCACGTCGCTTTTGACTCCAGCCCTCAAGTGCTTGATCTCATCGTTTCCCCGCCTTCACCATATGGCTGGTGGATACTGCGTGACTCAATCGGTTGTGAGCTTCTCCGACCGGTGGTCCAGCACTACACTTCCCATTGCACATTCTTCTTCTGCGCTGTGGAGCCGGATGGGGCTGTCCATAACGTTGAGCCCTCTGCCGAAGTCCGCCATATGTCTCCCTGCCCGCAAGGGGCTCGGGCACTTATTACTAGTGTTCTTCCGGGACTAGAGGGTAAACTGGTTGATGGAGTTCTTAAAATTGTCGCGGCCCGGGCCCGGCTCCCCTCGCTTTTCGGCAGTCTCGCGTTGCTCCTGCTTTGCCGCCACGTGGCCTCTATGCAACCTCCCCAACTCCTTGCTCTGGCCCCAGTCGCTGAGGCTTCGCCGCCTCCTCCGACAACCATTCGCATCTGGACTCTCAACATTAATGCACCCGTTGACCTTCCATGGCGTCCTCAGGGTTACCCGACCCGTTGGTTGAGAGAGCTGATGTGCCGTCTCCACCATATTGACGATCCCGGTGAGTTCCAGCCCACACATTCCACTACGGACAGCTCCGTCCAGCATGTCCTTTTCGTGCCGGTCGTTCCTGCTACGCGACCCACGGTCCGGTTTTGGCTGCTCCACTGGGGGGACGCTGCGGCCGTTACTTTCGGGCATTCGCCCTTTAGTTGGGATGTCGTCTCTGCCCATCTCAGAGCTCTCTTCCCGGGGGGCCATTTACCAGAGCGG